TGGACAGATGATGTCAAAGGGATACCGTTTAAGCTAACCCACAAGACATTGTTGTTGTTGTTATCAATAACCATAAGGGAGCGTCGTCAGGTCAGATTGAATGACTCGCTTATCGTAAACGATCCTATACATTCTGGTTTCCGGCTTATTGATTACTTTTCTTTTTTTCTTTTCTCGACAAATCTTGGCAGGGTTGTGAAGAAGAATAGCTTCGTCTGACATACCAATAACCATCTTCTTTATGGAGTGAAAGTTCAACTTTTGGGAATTTCGAAAATTTAGAGTGAAACCTCGCACCTTACAGCAAGTCTTACCCGAAGATGTCTGGTATGCATAATTTTTTGGACCACCTAAAGATAAATAAATAAAAATAAATAAATAAAACTTCAACTCTATACTAATAGTTATTAAAGTTAAATAATTATCAAGAAGGGGGGGGGTCTAGACTTACCAGATACGAAAGTTGTTATCACTTCGCCATTCAATTCATCCGTAAACTCCCCAAGAAAGTTGCCGAGTGGTGGGTCATTGCTCCCATCTTGAGCATAAATTATTGAGTCAGTATCATGGTACAAGACGTTTTCACCCAGCTTGTCCATTTCCTCATAAAGCTTCATCCTTGCCCAAGAGGTTGTAAATGCTGCTAAAAAGATGTTCGTGGATGAGTCTTGGGTAACGAATTCCTCTTTATATTCCCAGGATATAGCAGCCACCTCATCGGTGGGAAAAAACACATCTTTTACCTGTAAAAAATAAATAAATAAATAAATAAATAAATAAATAAATAAATAAATACGTTTTCATGGATATTCTAAAAAATAATTATGTTTTTTCATTTATATCAAAACTAAGAAGAAAAAAGGGTGAAACTCACATTTTTGGTAGGATCAGTGAGATGTTTGTTGAATTCAGCGAGTGTAGTTACAAACTCTATTTGCCCCTTATTGCAGTTCATCCCCCACCTATAAAACGTAAAAAAATATTGATTGTAATAAATTCAAAATAATTTACATTCCGCACTTGTTCACCTGCGTTAGTAAAATAAAGAATAATGTTTACTTACCGACCCCAGAAACTGTTCAAAATAAGTTTGGCTACTGCCCTTCTTCCCAGATTTTTCATTATCTTTGAAATATCCAACGCCACCCCTTCTTTTCTTAGGTAATCTTCAATGTAATTAATTTTATCGTCCTCAGTGGCACACTCAGCTGGCCAACCACTTGACTCTTGCTTTATTTTAAGGAATAGGTCAATGAAAGAGTTGAAAAGTTTTGAAGAAGTTTCCTCGAAGTGGTAAACTTCGTGAACCTGAAGAAAAAATATAAATATGAATATATTCAATACAAATTAAACATACCAAATTAAATATTTAAATTGTAAGTAAATTATTATACCTCTGTTATTTCGTAACCCTTTTTCAATGCCATTTTTACTTCCTCCGTAACCCAAGTACCCGTTAGAGCTCTTTCGTCGTCTGTGTGGGTGCAGGGACTTTGTTGCAATGAATCGGCACACACTCTACAAAGTGGAAACATCAACTTCTTATTACTTCTGTAAGGAAGCACTGGCAGGTATAATTGCCTAGGAGGAACAATGGTACACTTCATGATTCCAAAATAGTTTTCGACCGATGCAAAGTTCTCAGTAATTATTAAGGGGTGACCTACGGGATACTCGCAGTATTTATTTACCTAGATAAAAATAAATAAATATAAATGCATTCACTCGTCATTAACTTAAGTGTACATTATACAAACAAAAATACTGAAAAAAAATCAAATTTTCAAATAATCATATTAAATAATAATTTCAAATATTAAACATTTTAACCGATGTAACATTCAAATTTCAAAAAATATGCATTTAAATATATATATATATATATATTACCCATGGGTAGAGCGAAGTAAAATCAACATATTTAGCATTCCCTTCGTGATATAGCTTGACGGCATTAGTACGCCCTCCGTAAAATGCATCACGTGGAACCAGCCGGTCCTTCAATTTATGAGAAAGCAAGAAAGTTTTGAGTTCTTCATCATCTTCCTTCATTTTTTGAAACTCATGTTCCCAGCACTCTATCACGTTGTAGCCTAAAGATCTTAACTTCTGTGTGTTTTCCTCTGTAGACTGTCTCAGATCACCCATAGCAACATTCTTGAAGGGATGAATTTGCTCTGCTTTATAACAATTTAAGCAACCGTGGTAGAAGCAACCCTGAAAATAAAAAATAAAAGATTAATAATATACATACAAAAAATTTTTTTTTATATAAAATAGTATAACCAATAGAATCATTACTAACATGAAATTGATATACGGTGTTTGTATCCTCACAGAAACCATCCACAAAGGTGTTTTCGATCTTAACTTCTCCTGTGCCATTCAAAGCATGGATAATGTTGAAACCATCTTTCACAGCTGAAAAATCTAACCATCTAATAGAGTCGGGACTGTAATTGATTTTTGTAGTGTAGCCAGAAACAGGTACCATAGCTATTGTGTTTTCTTTTATGTGTCTACTTCTAAAAATTGCCATACTGGCTGATGCAATAGTAACACACCTGAAATATAAATAATTCATTATTTATATTCAACTACATACAACATGCAGTTACTTTACAAAACTGGAAATTGTACTTACTGGAAAGGGTCGACACCACCAACATCTAAGAATTCTTTTCTATAAATAAGGCATGAACGTCTCAAAATGTCAACATCAGATCTATAGAATAAATCAAATTTTTAATAATAGTACTAAAAAAAAAAAAAAGAAGAAGAATAGATAATAAAGTTTTACTTACCTACAATAAGCCAAAATTTCTTCTTTAAAATTAAAGATTTTATCTTTTTGCTGCTCGTACCATTTGAAAAATTCTGCTCGAACACTGCTACTCATTGCATCTGGTGTATAATAATAATCATCTGGTATGGATCCAATGAAGTCATGATTCTGGGGGGTATTGAATAGATGAGGAAAGAACCCCTTACGTGTCTCAACCAAGTTGAAAGTAACCGGTAGTTTTGACAAAGCCATGGGCATGAAATTGATGGAGTCAATAATTCGCAGCTGCAAGGCCTTGTGTCTAATTAGCATCAGCAAACTCCCATTCGGAATTATATCCGGTTTGGTTCCTTGCTCAATCAGCCAGGACAGTATAAACTGACCATCGAAACTGAAATAAAAATAATAAACATTAAAAATTCATGAAAATAGTAACACAAGAATATTCTTTCCAAATTTAAATAAAATAAATTACTTACGCTTTCATGTTATGGGCTATTGCAGTATAACCTTTATGCTCCTCGCTAAACAACCATGTGCAAAAATCATTACATGCGTTGTACCCTGGAAATACGTACTCCGATCCATCTTCCTTTTGAGCAACGGCCAGATTGACAATATGTTGCCCTGTTGATTGATCCGTCTCAAAATCAAAGAATATTAGTTTTTCAGACGGTTTCTTTGGCTCAATTTTTTTGAGATGGCATCTGTGGCTTGCAGCGATGACGAATTTCTGACAGGAGGGGCATTTTGAACTGTAGCACTGATGCGCTGAAGGTGGACACATTCGACGCTGAATAACCTTTCTACAGGTCCCACATTGGTAAATCTAAATAAATAAAAAAAATATCGAATGAAATAAAATATAATTAAAAAAAAAAAAAAAAAAAAAAAAAAAAAAAAAAAAAAAAAAAAAAAAAAAAAAACTATAGTAACAGAACAACGATAAGTATATCATAATACACAATCAGTAATATTTAAACAAAAGATAGAAAAAAAAAGGACCAAACTTACTTTGTCGCACAGAGATAGTTGTTGATTTTCAGTTTTACTCTTATGGGCCTCAAAACAATTTGTTGATAGACACAGACGATTACAGTCCGGACACCTTCTCTTTGTGTTATCTTGTATGCAGTCAACTCTTCGGCATATCCAACATGAGTTAGGACATTTATGATCTTCAATGCGATTGTAGGACTTGTCGCACTTCTCACAGTAGAATCTGGAAGCATAAAAACCAGGGAGATTCTTTATCACATCATAATGATCATTATGCAGCCATAATGTGATTCGGCGGGGTCTGCACACAGTATCATCCTTATACGAAACCTAAAATAATAAAAATCTAATTATTCCTTTGGATTATAAAATTAATATTATAAAACTTTTAATTAGATGTCATTAAAATAAGTACTTTAAAAATGTATTAAAGTTAGTCAATGATATTTTAAAAAAGCAAAAAATCAAAACTTATATATATATATACTGAATAATATGATACTAAATAATATAACACTTATATTTCAGATTGATTTTTTTTTTTAACTTACCCTGTTTAGATTTGCAGTGGAAATGACAACAATTTGCGTATTTAAATGCTCCTCAAACTTCTTAATTTCAGTATAACCACAAGGTCCTAGGGGAACACCAGCTGAGTAATATAGTTCCTTAGCCCTATTCATCAGTGCAGGTCGTCTCCTGTCACGTAAAGCATGAATAGATGATTGATCATTTTCCAGGTGGGCAATAGCGTACACAATCGCTTTCGCGCAACACAAACCTTCATCATCTGTTGGTATGGTCAAAATAGACCTTTTTTTCAGTCCATCCACTTTTTCGTTAATTACACGGTGATGTTGTTTTCCTCCCCCGACGTCCCGCAATATGGTGATAACGTCGATTAAAAAGCCATCATCTAACTGGATTTCAGTCTTTGACTGCAAGACTTTCAAGACGGCAGACAAAATCTTCTCCACAGTCATATCCTTGCACGGCATCAATGTGGTTGAAATCGGTTTATCGAGTCCATCGGATTGAATGCATATTCTAATCAAATCGTTAGGTTTTAGGTTCCAACAAACTTTCTTCAGTATCTGGCTGAATAGTTCACGAACTAAAGCGACAGACACCTCCACCAATGGAGAATTCCTTAATTCGTCTGGAAGTTTTTCTTGGTCGACGACTGCTCTAAACGAAACTTCATCACCTCTATATTTTTCTGTCCTTCTTCTAGATAGTTGTTGAAGGAATATAGCACTGCTTAACTAAAGAAGAAAAAATAATAATAATTGTAAATATATAAATTAAAACCTTTTTAAAAATACATAAACAGGGTAAAAAAATTGAATACCTAATAAAATGAAATAATTCAAAATAAAAATACTCACATTCGGCATATCAGAAGGCTCGTGTTCTATATAAACTGACCCACTGTTGGAAGGTCCTGGTCGTGTCTACTTAAACAAATAAAAAAAAATATGTTAAAGTAAAAAAAAAGAAAAACAAAACAATATAAAGAGAAAAAATAATAAATTAACAGAAAAAGTACCTGCAGAATTAGTTATTACCTCAAAACCCGAACCCACTTGATAATAAATGGGAAGATCTCTAAACACCTGCGTTGCTTCAGCAAAACCTTGCGAGAGATCCCCAATTAAATGCTCCTCGTCTTCTAAAAATTCTTGGGTGAATTCTCCCAAAAGCTAAAATTATAATTATAATAAGTGATTGAAAAAAATATATATTTATGTCAAATAACAATTAATATTCTTTAACAAACAAAAATTATACAATAACAAATATACATCATGAAAGATAAACAAAAATAACAAAAAATTATACAACTATTACCTCATCATCACATTCGTCAAACCCCAAACCCGGCTCACTAAAATCCATTCTATCATCATGCTATGAAAAAAAAAATTATATTTTAAAGCAAATAAATACTTTTTTAACTGTACAAAAATATAAAGTAAGTTTTTTAAATGAAGCGATACACGGGCGCTATACAAATAGCGACAACAATAGTTAAATATAAGAGAATAAATTCAAAATATAAACGAAATCTACGCTTAAGCAAATTTGGATACTACATTAATAACAACATTGATAACTGAAACATAAATTTAGATTAAATAAATGAATTGAAAAAAATAAAATAATTATTGAGCCAAGCATAAAACTAAAAAAAAAAAAATTCTAATAATTATTAATAAACTAAAAATTCAAATAATTATTAGCTAAACTAAAATTCAAATAATTATAACTTACTTCTTCAGAAGAATCGTCTCTTGAACGTTTGCTCATTGTAATCCTTATAAGACACTGGAAAAATAACTACACAATCGTAACAAACGGAATACAATTTCCAACTAATAAATTTTTTCGTGCAGCAACGGTTTATATCAGCCTCTACTAACACGATAAATGAAGATAACGTGATAGCCCTTGTTAAATCTTGTGACAAAGGGTTGAAATAATTCTCACACGAACTAATCACTAATACCTTAAATTCTACGATAAAACTCATAACCACACTGACCAATATCAACATTTGGTGAGAAAAGTAGATAAAATGTGGTGAGAAAATAGATAAAAACTACTTTCCCTATCACTATATTAAACTTTCCATTCTGACTAATTGATAATAATACAGGTAAAACTAAAACTTCACACCTTGATAAAACTTTATCAGAAAACTCTCACGGGTCTGGTCATCTATTAGTCCCTTTTTCGAATCCCACGCATGATTTTTGAAAATAAATAGTTTTATTATATTATCAAATAAGCTGTAGGAATTTAAAACAATCGCGTTAAAAAGGCTGTTAAATGTTTTCTTCGATTTTAAAATAATTTTGTAATTTCAAAAATTAAATTTAATATATAATTGATTACAAATAATAGAGTTAATTATTTTCTAATCGTAAAAGAAATTAATTCAGAATAAAATAATTCACTTATTTTATCATAAACTTTTTATTTTACCATAAGATTTTTTTTTTTTAAATAAATAGAATTTTTATTTTAATATTAAATCATTTTATTTAAAATGCGTAAATTAATATTGAATAGGTTAATAATAGTTATAGTCGTTTATATCAACTGTATTTATGTTAAAAAATAACTAAAATTAAGAGTTATTAATATAGTCTCTTTCTAACATTTTAAGTATAGATGGCACCATTAGAATTCATATAGTATTTTTTAAAATGATTAAATTAATTTTATTAAAACCTTAAGTTTTCCTCCGATCTCTGTACATTCACAGGATACTGATTAGCGAAACCAAGTCCCCCCTACTTGTCGTTGGACTAAGCGTAGGAGGTTTTCGTGGTTTTCCTCTTCATAAATCGTGGTCACTCACAAAGTCCTCTTCGAAGACATTGTCTCAAGATCTAGGAGTTCCCTTGTCTTCTGGGTTCAAAAATGACAAGACTACATTGATAGCCGCATATCCGTACTACGGTAATAAACATCTAATCTAATAAAATAATATTCGTTGATTTAAATATGCTCTTAACCTTAACACGTGTATGGACAGTACCGTTGCCATCCAGAGAAAGTTATCATAGCATTAAGAGGGGGCAGAAATAATTATTTAATAACTGTCAAAAGGTTAAGTGAAAAATATATCGATGAAACTGTATTAAGATATCGATATCAAACAGTTTTTATTCATACACGTGTTCAGAATACAAAAGTTTAACTTATTAACACATATCTAACCAAGCATTCGTGGGTCAGTGGTTATGATATCCAACTACTGACCCACGAAGGCTTTTTGATGGCGTGAGTTCGATCCTCAGCCTTAATTATATTTAATAAATAATATTAAAACAGATTTAAATATTAAAATAGATTTAAAGTTATTTTATTTCTAAAATTCTCACATAGATGGCGCCACTAGAGTAAAAGTATGATATCATTTATGTGTTACGTAATAAGAGATGACGTCATAACTTCATAATATACAATATCTCCCCAAATAACAAAGTTTCTAAGTGTTGCCATCCTTAAAAACTAATATTAAAAATAATAAGTGTTGCCACCCTCAAAAAACTAATAAATTAAATAATATTTAAAAAAACGAAACTAAATTAAAAACAGAAACCGAAACTAAAAATATGTTAGGCTTAAGAAAAAAAAGAAATAAGCTCCCCATGACGTTGCAGACGAAGTTTCGATTTTCAGGCGGGCAGAAATAAGCAAGCGGGCAGAAATAAGCAACTTCCGGTTTATAGGAGGGCAGAAATAAGCCACTTCCGGTTTATGGGCGGGCAGAAATAAGCCACTTCCGGTTGGGCAGAAATAAGCACCGGTCGACTATGACGTCACTTCCGTAGCTTATACCTCGCTGTATACTACTAACAATTAATTAAACCTCTCCCAGCAATCACAGAACATTATTTCATTTTTTTTTTACATTCAGAGTTTTTTTACTAGGTTGCCTAGCAACCTAGTAAAATTCAGCATTAAGTTTTTGAATTAGTCAATGGATTATCTTAAAATACTCATTTGCGCTGGCGACTTTTTTTTTGCGGTTTTCTGGACTATCGCCAAATATATAAACCTATTTTGCTACCCAATTTACGACCCAATTTCTTCAAAATTTTGCCTATCCCCCCTAATTCAAGTGTCTAGTATCCAAATATGTAAAAGAAAAAAATATATGTTTTATCAAAGAAAGTACGTTTTCGTGTCTGATTTAGTAACTTAATTAATAGTTAGCACTAATTAATTAGCATATTTGAGGTCACCCCCGGGAACCATTAAGATTGACTCTTAGTTCGTNTTTTTTTTTTTTTTTTTTTTTTTTTTTTTTTTTTTTTTTTTTTTTTTTTTTTTTTTTTGCGGACTGTACATTTTCATATTTGCAGGAATTCTACCTCTTGGTCCACTTTGTGAAAATGGTGTTTCTTGCGGTTTAATAGAAAAAGTTAAGCGGATTCATGGGATTAGTTTCTCGAAAATAAAATCACTTTAATTCCACCTAAACTTTTGCTTAATAAAAAATATTTTTAATGGTAGCGTAATAAAAGTTATTTTTATCTTAGTAACAGCTTAAGTAACTTTCCTCCACTGTATATCACAAATTCAAAGTAATAAATCAGAGTAATTAAATATCATTCATAAAATGATATCTCATTGCAGTGACAACAGGGTAACATTTTTCAAGAGCAAACGTAAGTATTCCTATTCCGCAAGTTTTGCTATTTTTTTCGCTACCAATTTATAAGAATTTGGCCGGAAACGGAGCAACTGGATTCCCTGTACTTTCATTGAAATATTTTCAAATTAGTCTTTTAACACATTGTAACCGTGTCGCGTAAGAAAATTGTTTTTAAAATTTGTGCAATCCATACGAAAATTTAAAAAGTGATAGCAAAACTACTTCGTTTCTGCTCTGTTTTTCAAAGAAATTATCTATTCGTGATTACCCCAAACATAAATGATTCAGTATAATGTAATCAGAACTACAATCACTCGTCGCTATTTTTTTTTTTTTTAATTGAAGTCGTAGTTATAATGACAAGTTTGCTCCAACTCTTATGAAATCTTGCCTCGCAATTTCCACTACCACGTGCAATCAGGGGTGAAAGCGAGACGGAAAAGAGGAAAGGCTGGTAGTAAAACCATTTCAGTTATAGCTAGTTTTGGGGCGGAGTTTACTTATTCTTTTTTGAAATTTTTCAACAATATCTACTTTATCTTGGAAAAGAAGCAGTTTTATATATATGCCAGAATTATAAAAGAAATCTTGATAGTTACAGATATTTCATTTTTTTCGAAAAAAATGCTGGAATGAAATGTTTTACGTACCAGGTTTTTCTCTTTTCCGTCTTGCTATATAAGGGCTTTCACCCTAGCGTGCAATGTGCTAAAACAATTGCAAAATTAAATGTAATCAAGTAAGGCTTAGTTTCTAATTCTATACCACTTTTTAAAATCTTTTGCTTTAAGCGGAACAGTTCACACCAAT